AAAAAAAATCTTAAATCTTTCAAGTGATCTATTCAAATTATATATTATTAAAATATAAAATAAGTTGCACATATAACTTAAATAAAAATTTATATTCCTCTTATAAATAATTTGTGATAATAAAGAAATATGTGAATGATAGACAATTATTATTACCTATGAATGAAACTAAAATAAAATCTTAAATCGTTCTTTGATCTATTCAAATTATATATCTTTAAAATCTATAATAAGTTTATACTCCTCTTATAAATAATTTGTGATGAGAAAGAAATATGTGAATGATAGCAAAATATAATTATTTATGGCTGTAAAATATAAATTAATTAACTTTTATTATGTTAATAGCTTTTAAGTGTATTTCGGATATTTTGATTTGAAAAGCTGTTTATCAGCATTTATTTGCCAAACACATCAACAACTTTTTTTTTTAACTTCAGCACTTTTATCCAAACGCATAACTACTTATTTTAAAAATAAGTTTCAGCACTTTCAAAAGTACTTTTTTAAAACTGTTTTTATTAAGCCCATCCAAACGGGCCCTAAGTAGTCTTATTTCTTTGTAGGGCCAATTGACAATGAAGAGCCTCCATCTTTAAAAGAAGCTAAAGGAGCCAAAGAGAGGAAGCTAGCCATGAATAATTGCATAAAGGCTTTAATAAAAAATCAAACTTGGAGCTTTGTGCCAAAGCCAAGAGATGTACAACCTATTTCTTGCAAATGGGTTTACAAAATCAAAATAAAAGCAGAAAGCAGCATAGAAAGATATAAAGCTAGATTGGTTGCTTGAGGTTTTTCTCAAAAATATGGCAAACTTTCGATGATCTCAATTTGAGTTGTAATAGCCATGGTAGCCTCAGAGGTTTGGGAACTATGGAAACATGACATGAAGAATGCTTTCTTGTATGGAGAACTTGACAAAAATATTTATATGAAGCAACTACTGGGGTATGTTTCTAACTTACATCCTGGTTATGTTTGCAAATTTTAAAAAACACTATATGGACTCAAGCAAGCTCCACAAACATGGTATTGAAAAATTGTTCAATATCTATATTTTTTTTGGCTATACCACATCGCATTCAGATCCTAGCTTGTTTAATTGTTAAAAAACATGGAAATTTGCAGGTGGTTGTTCTCCTGTACGAGGATGACATGATAATAACAGGAAACAATGATTATGAAGTTGCATGACTTCAATAAGAGCATGCCCTAAGATTTGATATCAAGAGTTTGGGAGAATTACATCATTTTCTTGGCTTAGAGGTAACAAACACAAGTAAAGGGTTTTCTTGGCTTGTGGACATGTTTGAGTGAAACAAAGGAAAAAGTGTTCTACGCCATTGGAGACTAGCACGAGGCTAAGGTGTGCAGAAAACTCACTTCTTGTCGACCCCAACCCTTATCGAGCTCTAGTAGGAAGTCTCCTATATTTAACTAGACCCCAACCCTTATCGAGCTCTAGTAGGAAGTCTCCTATATTTAACTATTAACAGGCAAGACATTGCCTTTTCTCTTGGATACATAGCAGATTTATACACTCACCAAAACAACCGCACTTGAAAGCTGCAAAGAGGATTGAAGTATATCAATTCAACATCAAATATGGGCCTATTGTTAAAAAGAAAGAATATTTTTTGTATTAATTGGACATACCGATGCATATTTTGTGGTGATATGGATAATAGAAGATCTAAATCATGTTATATTTTTCTCTATAGTGGAACAAGGATTTCTTTGTGCAACAAGAAACTAGACTCAGTTTCTTTGTCAACTATGGATGCGGAATATAAACAACGACTCTTACTGCTCAAGAATGTGTATGGCTCCAAAGACTTGCTAAAGATTTGGCATCTATCTATATCAAAGCCAATTATGATCTATGGAGACAACCAAAGTGTCATCAAGCTCGCAAACAATCTGTTTCATGAAAGAACTAAGTGCATCAAAGTGGAACATGATTTTATTTGAGAAAAAGTTCTTGATGGAACTTTATATAAGTCGGAGGTACGAAGTCACGAGAATATTGTTGATATCTTGACCAAGCCACTTCCAAAATCTTCACTTGAGTTTTTCAACGAAAAGTTTGTGATAGTTTCAAAAATTCACTTTTAAGGGGGAGTGTGAAAAAAAGTTAAATATGATTTTTGAATAATGTCCTAGTATAGAAACTTGGAAATTATCTTGAATGAATATCTAGATATTCTGGAGAAGTTACCTTGAAGAAATATCTAGATATTCTAGAGTAGTTGTCTTAAGAAAATATCTAGATATTTTGGAGTAGTTGCTAGAAGATAAGTTCACTAGAACTTTCTTATAGATCTATTTAGAATAGTTTCTAGAACCATCCCTAGACAAGTATAAATAGGAGATGGCCTTGTACATTTGTATTCAAGGAAATATCAAAGCATTTAAAAGAGTCTTCTTCCATTACAAAGTTCTTCTTTCCAAATTATTTTTCAACTATCTAGCTTCCTCTCCTTCTTTAGTTGAATCTTCTAATATTACTTAACGATTTTGGACTAGCAAAAGGCTTCCCGAATTTTAATTTTCTTTTGCTATTCTTTACACAATTTACCATTTTTCCCTCCTCATATCGACCCCGAGTCTTTTATGATTGAGTTATAAATTTGATTTTGAACTTTGCGTTAAAATTTGAGAATTTGGTAAGTTTTGAATTTGAAAGGCTAAGTAGTTAAGATAGTTTTTTCAGTGTCATTTGGATTTTTTAGTGTTGGAATGGAACTTCCTTGATTCCATCAATAACGAAATATTGAATATGAGCTATGGGAATTGCAAGTTTCATATTCTTTTTGACAATTTGAGTGAGGTCTTAAGTTGTGAAATTGTAGAATTTTAGCCTTTGGATTGACTTTGGTCAACATTCGAGGTTCGGATCCTCGAATCAAAATTTTAGTGAGTTCCATGGGTTTTGGGGGACTATTATAGGCTAGGAGAGGTCTTGGTGGATTTTTGAGAGGTCCGAGTTTGATTTAGCCATTTTAGGCATTGAGTTAGTTTCTTGTAGTCTTTACAGTTGTCGGCCGGTCGGGTAGATCTTAGACTCTTGTTTTGACAGTTTCATTAAGCCCGCAATGTTGAGTTTATATGATTTGCATATGTGATTTTTGTTTACGGAATCCCGAATAAATCTCGAGGGTTCTTTTATTGTTTTAAGTATTAACTATTTTCATGGTGCATAAGTACTCTACCCTTTGCTTTTACGATAGATAGGCCTTCCGCTTAAGCAAGCTTCACCTAAGCGAATGTGTGCTCGCTTAAGCAAATGCCAGAATTTTGAAGGTCGTTTGCTTAAGCGTAGACTGGTTCGTAAAAGTGAGACCCCTAGTTTTCGTAGGGTTCGATTAAATGACATTAGAGGTGGTTTTTGACCTGTAATTTTCAGAGTTTAAACCCCATTTTTCATTTTTGAGCTTGGGAACCCTTAGGGGTGATTTTGGAAATATGTTTTGTGCTATATAATTTGAGTAAGTTTTTATAACCCTAATTCTTCATTTCACTTTGATTATTTATGAATTCTAACATCATAATGTTGAATTTGATTTGGAAAATGGCAAGGTTTTGCAAGAACTTGAGTTTTGATCTAAAATGGTGATTTTGAAGTGTTTTGATTTTTCTGATTCTCACTAATAAGTTCTTAAATCCTTAAACATCATTTTCAAGTATTGTTTTCGGATTCAAACCTCCCTTTCAAAAATCAAGTTTTGAGTTGATTGACCCATTTCTATATATAATTGATGTGGGAATTGTTGTTTCTGATCAGGGATTGTGAATACTTTATTGTTATGTAGTGTGGCCTTGGAAATGATTCAGAAAGAAAATACACAAATCTTGGAGTGACTATTGATTGATTTAAGACAAGTATTGATCTCTTAAGCTTTGTAATCTAGTAGAGTTGTCTAGTTCTCTTCATTGTATCTGTGTTGGGGAGTAAATGGGACTGAGGTGAAGGGTCTTATTGCTCCACTTGATTAATGTTAATAAGCAAATTAATTAAAGAAGGGGTAAACGAAAAGGTTTTATGATAATAATGACTTTTGAATTGCCTTGTTGTGACTCTATTTGATTGATTTGATGAAATGCCGGATGACTTGAATGTGGAGTTGAATTACATGACTTGTTGTCTCTTTATGTGGTGGAATATTTCTTGTGTGCATTGATTGTTGAACACCGTGATGAGACATGTGATTTTTTTGATGTCAAGGTATTTGTCGACGATTGTTATATAAGCCAATGATAAATCGTTTTCGCTAGTTATTGTTATATAGCCTATGAAAAATGATTCTGGCTAGTGATTTGATATAAAGCCGATGGAAATGGTTTCGAATAGTTTTTTGATATAAAGCCGATGCGAAATAGTTTCGGCTAGTGATAGTGTGTCATTGGGAAATAGTTCCGGTGAGAGATTTATTCTTGTCATTTGAAGCATTTTTATGTTTATGTGTGACTTACTTACTACTTGTGATTGAAGTACTTGTTTCGTGTAATCAATCTACTTGACATTGAGTTTGACTACATACGTGTTGGTTGTTGACTTGTAACTTTGGAATGTGAATATTGAGCCTTCTAAACTGCTTATTGTAGAATTGTAAGATTGGGCTGATTATTGTGCAGGTTGTGGTTTGAGGAGGTTCAATTGAGATGGAAAGGAGTAGTCGAATTCTAGCTAGATTTCTTTGTTTATTAGGTTGTTTATTAGGTTGCTTGTTGAGTACCATGTTATTGATACTCACTCTTTGCTTTTACACTTGTGTAAGTTTTGATCCTAGACCCATGTGATCTCTTGTTTCTTCTTTTTATTTCGAGGCTTGCCAAGGATTTTGAGAGGTAGTTGTTTGTCATCCGGCGGACCCTCTTGTTCCTTTACTTTATTTTTTGTTTTATTTGAGAAGCAAAGGCTATGAGACTTGTATTTAGATTTCGAATTCTATTTTTGCATTAGTGCTTTGTACACGTGACAACCAGATTTTGGAGAATTTTAATACAAGAATAAGTTTTTCTGCTTTATCTAGTTTTACTTTATATTTTTGTATTACTTTCGTTTTCGTAGGGTTGAGGCTGACTTGTCTTGGTGGGACTGAACAAGTGTCATCATGTATATTTTGAGGTCGTGACAATTTTTATGAATATAACTAAAAATCAGATTTAATATAATGTGTAATTTTTTTGCGAATGAACCCCCTTGTCTCACCTAGCTCTGCACCTGAATTGTTGATGGCTGGCTTGGTGGGACTGACTCAATCCATTAAAGCTCCTTTCATAGTTGTTGTATTTGTGCTCAAAGATTCAGACGATTATGTTTAATGAGTCTCATTAGTTCACTCATACATGTATTATATCCCTACACAGAAAAAGAATGATCCAAAGAAGTATTAACGGAAATAAGAAGAAGCTAATATCCTTATGTAGAAGCATAAGCAACAATAGGGCTCCTAACTAGATGCACACCATCATCCCACAACAAAGAACCTGAAATCATTGAGTCATTTATCTCTGCCGTTATCGACACCACAAACAATTGCTTCTGCCCTATTGATCTGAATGTTATAAGACTTGGTTCCACTCGAACGTTGAGTCTCTCAGGTGCTACAATAGTTGCCCTGTAAGTTGAAACTGGTGTTCCAACGTTGGTGACCGTCCTATGAAAAACTCGGGTGATCTTTGAGTTTTTTGAAGAAGAAATTGTGAAAGAAGGGTAGTTTAGATCCCAAACAGTTGCATCAGTTTGAGAAGTACTACAAGAAGAAGTTTATCCCCTGTAATAATCCGCAAATTCTTGGTACTGTATCCTTGGCCACATAAGAATTTCACGTAATCATTTTCTACCATGTCGTATACCAGACCAGGATGTGCAGCTTTTATTGGATTTATTTGACCAGACCCGTAGCAAATTCTGCCTCACTGTTTGCACTGGAGATCATAGGTGTGGCTGTATATAACAGAATTGTTAAGTAGTGCGAAATATTTTGTAACTTGTCAATTTTGAAGGAGTGTCGTATGAATTGGAATGGAAACATAAGAGTTTACCGGTAGTCATTAGAGCAGACTTGATGGCAGTGGGAGACATTGTTGGGTTGAATGATTTAACATAGATGGCTGCTGCAGTAGCATGAGGACAAGCCATAGATGTCCCGGATATTATGTTATAGGGAACTACTCGTTTGTCTCCGTGTATATTACCAGTTACTGTGGTACCTTCAGACCAAGCTGCTAGAATGTCCACTCCAGGTGCACTCAAATCAGGCTACCGAATAAATGCTCGCGATTAATAAACATACCATATGACAATGTCTTAGGCAAGAATATATTAGTGTGATAATGAATTTTACCTTTAGAATATCGCTTGTAATTGCATTGGGTCCTCTTGATGAAAAGGAAACCACGAAAGGGGCAGATTCTAATCCCTTCTCACTACTTTTTAGAATTCTTCCTGTTGGTTTACTGAAGAAATATTTAGAAAAGTACATATTTAGCCTTTGTTATTTGAATTAGAGTATTGTTGTTTGCAGTAGATCTGTAGATGTATATATATACCGTGTTTTATGTAGGTAATTGTAAACTTCGGTGCCATCGTTTGTTCTCAAGTATGTAGACGATATGGGAAAAGAAAAGGCAGCATCATTGAAATCATCTTGCATTATAGCTCCAACAGCTCCAGCTATAATTGTTCCGTTAAGTCCAATCGCAGAGGACAATTTTGCCTCTAACCTTACTTTTGTCCAATGAATTTTCTTCACAGTACCTTCCATATGTATAATGTTTTTAGATATTCAATACAATTATTCAAACTTGGCACTACTTCAATTTAAATACCTTGATTCAGATCCACTATACCCTGCCTCAGTATTTGGAACATCTCCTCCATAAACCAGTGGATACTGGTCCTCGAGGTCAAAAGTGTTGATGGATACCCCCTGGAACACAAGGCATACATGTACAAACTGAGACGAAGGGACTATAAATTTATTACCAATTGTAGGTAGGTAGATGCAAGATTTCTCACCTCATAGACTTCACCATTTCCTAATGCACATCGGTAACAAATCTCCTATCGATGGTACTATCAGCAACTGAGAGTGACCAAGGCGACAAGTTGGTCACTGTTTGAGGATCAGGACCGGAATTGCCTGCAGAATTCCACGTGAGGATCCCATTCTTCATTGAATGGAAAGCACCAATGGCTATTGAATCTTCAAAGTATTGATAAGGTGAAGACCCTCCTACTGAGAGTGAGATGATATCAACTCCATCAGCAATTGCATCATCGAACGCTGCTAGAATATCAGCATCATAGCAACTATCAGACCAGCATATTTTGTACACAGCTATCCTTGCAGAAGGTACCCCTCCTCGAGCTATTCCTGACCCAAGACCATACAAGCTTGCATTGCTAACAGAGCGCCCTGCTGCTATGGATGCTGTATGTGATCCGTGTCCTTCTGTGTCTCTTGGAGATTGAATATCCCCCGAAGGAAATTCTCCATTAATTCGATAGTATTTTGCTCCAATGATTTTTCTGAAAATAACGTCCAGCATCACTGAACTTACCTACCTACGTTGTTGTAAAACACTAGTTTTGAAAAAATGACATGTTAGTATAGTACGTACTTATTGCAAGTGAAGTTAAGTGAGGATTGACAAGTTCCTTTCCATTTGGTTGGAGGAGCAGAAAAATATTGATCATCGAAACTTTGTGACTCCGGCCAAATTCCAGTGTCTAGCATTCCTATAATAAGGTCACTCTCCACACTTGTTCTTCTTGTAACTTGTTGAGGTAAACCGACGAAATCCCATGACCTCGTTGTATGGAGCTCTTTTATACCATTTGGGAACACTGATACAACTGCATCCATGTCTGAATTCCATTTACACATTATATTAGAATGAATCAAGTCATGTAAATGTAGTTAATCAATGAAAAAGGCCAAATGATTCTATCTATAAAGAAAGCAATTCATTACTATAATTAAATAAAGGTTCACTTATTCTATATACACGTATAACGTATTGACTTACTTGTGATTCTGTTCTTCTCTTCCTCGGTTAGTTTGGCAACAAAGCCATTGAAGCTTCTCTTATAGCTGTACATCAATGATTCTGAAGCTCGTCTATTACTGATTGAAACCAAAATTTGATAAATGTTGAGTTCAGTTACCTACAAAACTATATAGAAAGAATTTGGGAAGATATATATATATATATATAATATATATATATATATATATATATATATATACCAAGGGGGAATTAATCATGGGCATCAGTTCTAAAATATTCGTATATTAGTAGTAAATATTTAACTTTAAAATATTCATTTTACCCCTAACGAGTTGAATTATAATCACATAAGCATCTATGACCACAAATTTAGAAAATATGTGTTTTAATGTGTATACTTGATGTTAAGTCAAACTATGTCACATAATCAATTAAGGCGAAGGGAGTTTATATTCATAAAAATATTTGAGTAGGTAGCAGCACTGACCTCCCAAGAGCCTCTTGCAGAATACTAGTGTGCATAGACGATGTTGTAGAAAGATCATCCTTTGGACAGTCGCCCATGTACACAATGTACTCCTATACATTAAACACGAAGCATAAATAGAAATGCATGTGATTATAGTATAGTTATGTTGGAAATTTTCTTGTATTGTATTTGAGGAAGAATTTAATAAATTGCTGGGTATTATGTAGTGCAAAAAGCGCTTACATCACTTAAAAATTTATTTTTACGTGTTTACGGTATAAAATTTACTGTTTTGTTCGTCATTTTAGAGAAAAACAAGTATTTTTCCTCCTCATATTTTACCCTAGATATTACTTACTTATTCTCCAAATCACGCTTCAAAATATAATAATACTAAACATGTCATGCAGTTTAAAAATGAACCGTTCATCACTTAAAAACTCACTTTGATGTGTCCGCAATACAAAAATTACATTTTCCATGTCACTTTTAGCATATCAAGAGAAAAGTAAATATTTTTTGGTAATCTTTCAAATCACTCTTCAAAATCGTATAGTATTAAACTCGGTTAATATGAATTATTGTACAGTATAAAATACTCAAGTCAATCATTATTTTTTAAAAGATGTGCAAAATTTAAATTACTCGAGAAGTAAAAGGTAATGGAGGGAGTAACAACTAAAAGCATGTGATCATCCATACAAGAATGGTATTAAGAAGCGGGAAAATTAATAATGTTTGATGGTTTAAAGTTGATAATGCAAAAGAGATAAGAAAAAGAAGAGAAAGGACATGCCTTTAGGCCATTTTGATATGCAAAGCAAATGAGTGTAGAATATGATAGGACATAAAGCATAATCCATGACAAAGTGGCCATTAAATTTAATTAGTAGTAACTAATATTGTTTTTATGCAGAGAAAAAACAGTGAATGGATATATTTATACTAGTTATCTTCCATTGGTTTCTCAAAGGTAATAATACTTATAGTAATGCTCGCCATAGAAAAGCCGGCTTCTACAATGTCACCTTGGCCTCTCCTAATAGAAAAGAAGGAATTAAATAACAAGTGACAAATCCACTTTAATTTGGGATTCTATCTAATCCATATAAATTAAAGGTTATTTTCCAGTATTATCTATTCTTCTTGAAAAATGTAAAATCTCATTAAAATAAAGGGTAAATATGAAGAAAAAAAAAGTCTCTTAAACTTTGAATAATTCATTTATTTTGAGCTGTGAAAAGAATCTCAATAATAAACTATATGGACTAAATGGAGTATGATTTTAGGCCCGTCTTCGAAAGACACAAACAACATTGCTCAAACAAAATGAAGGAATATAAATTACGCGGTTAAACAAATTTATACTATTTAATTATTCATTATAACTATAGTTTTCTATAAATTACCACTCGCGACTAACATTATACATTAATCATGTGGACTAACTTTGGTTTGTATAATTAGCCACATTTGTATATGTATAATTCGCATGAATATACAAATATATATGTATAATATACAAGTGTCTAACCGTTATACATATACAATTCACCTCTCTCACACTTTTTGCCCTCTCTCGCTTGCCTCTTTCCTTCCTCTTCCAATATCTCTTGCCTCTCTCCTCGCTCTCCCAATCTCTCTTGCCTCTCTCCTCTCTCTCCCAATCTCGCTTGCCATATATACAAGAGCATATGTATATTATACAATTATCTAACTTATATACATATACAATTCACCTCTCTCCTACTTTCTTCCCTCTCTCACTCGCTTCTCTCCTCCCTCTCCCAATCTCGCTCGCCTCTCTCCTCCCTCTCTCAATCTCTCTTTCCATATATACAAATACATATGTATAATATACAGTTATCTAACCAATATACATATACAATTCAGTTTTCTCCCACTCTTTGTCCTCTCCTCTCTCTCCCAGTCTCGCTCGCCTCTCTCCTCTCTATAACACGTAGCTACTATTTGTAATAATCAACATATAGCTATGAAGAGTAATTAGGCTATTTTTAAATGGTTATACGTGAAAATTCCCCATATTTCAAATACATCACTTAGTGTCCCGATGCATCACGCAAGAAAACCTGATCCATAGAGATTAATTTTTCAAAAACATAGTAGGAAGAACGGAAGCGTACATTAGTGTTAGCGTTTTGACTATAATGATTGACAATTTACTTTTGCAAGAAAAAAAAGAAACCCTCGCACGAAGATATGAGTTGACGAAAAGCCTTAAATCAAAGCTTTTAGGAAACAAGTACCAAGATTGACCAAGATTTAAGGAACAAGCATCAAGGATTCTGTAAAGACTCCTATAAGGAAAGCAAGTATGTTTACCAAGAATGACCAAGTACCAAGATCTTCTATTAGAGGAACGAGGGATAAGGGCATAAGTATCCGGACACTATGATCAAAATTTGAGAGATACATCTTACTTAAATTAAGATCTCATTATTATTATTTTTTTATCTTTGTAATTTTGTACAATTTTTTGGATTACGTGACATTTAAATATCTCTTACATGTCTCAATTACGCGGAGTCACATAGTGTGCTGCGTAAGCCAAAACGTGTATAAAATTATCAAAAAATAAATTTAGTGTAATAACACCTTAGTTTTGTTAAGATACTCCCTCTTTCCCTCATTACTTGTCCACATTTTCTTTTTTAGTTGTCCTTAATTACTTGTCCATTTTGACAAATCAAGAAAGACAATCTTTTCTTTTACCTATTATATTTACAATTAGTTACTTTTGAAAAATGTAGAACTTCTTGAAAATATTAAGTTTTTAATTAATCTACTTGTCAATTAATCGGGATAAAATGGTAAACTCACTATATCAATTGTTTTCTTCTTAATAGGTGTGTTAAATCAAAAGTAAACTAGTAATTTGAAACAGAAGAAATATGTCTTTGGAATTTTGATCATAGCTAGGCTATATAGTTATGCCTTACCAAAGGAATAAATGCCAAAGAATTAAATGGGACAATATTCAAAGAAGGAAACTGCACAATCAAGTACCAAGAATCTTCTTGCAAGGGAAATTAAGTCATGTGAATTAATGAGGCAAGTATATACCACTAATTTTGTTACTGTCTTAGAAGAAAATAAGATATCGTGAAAAATAGAAGACGCAACACTATAGAGTATAGAATGTGAAAGCAACGGCTACATGGAATGCGGCTAAGCACAATCTTATTCTTGGAAATAACATCAATCTAGTATGTGGTAAGGATCAAATCTCTTAAAGTCTATTTGGTATTGATGTGATAAAACATATTATTTTTAAAAGTACCTTTTAAAATAGTTTTGTTAGAAAAATGCTTTTCAAAAGAACTAATTTGTTCGGACAATTTATTTGAAAAATGGCTTTTATAGAAAAATTATGTTTGACTAATCTTTTTTTAAATGAGCAACTTACAAAAAAAAAACTATAATCTTAGAGTTATTAAAGTTCAATATTTGTACATATGTTATTTATCAAAAATGACTTCAATTTATGGCTATATCTCATTATATTACTGTATAAATAGTTGTTCTTTTTATAAGATGGTATTGTTATAATTATAATGCACTAAATAAGGTGTTTTTGTTATAAATTCATTGAACAAGTGGATTGTCCATTTAGTTATTCATGAACCAACATTCATGTATGTATGTTTCCAAGGTGATATAAATCGTTTTGGGATAATGATGTATTTATTATGACATTCATCAAAGTGGCATTTAAAGTGATTTCTCTACTTATAAATAGAGATATCATTCTTCAATTAAGACACACTTGAATAGAAGAAAGACCAAAAGTCTTCTATCCTCCATCTTACTTCTCTTGTCATCTTCTCTTCCTATTATATTATGACCTTGATTTTATAACACGTTATCAACACGAATTGTCTCTAGTTTCAATTTTGTTCACCATGTAATACAAGTTGAGTTTTATACCAACGATTTGATGGTGATGATCAAAAGGACGAGAAAATAGTTGTTGGTGAAGTTTATCCGACAAAACAAAGAAAAAGGAAACCACCAAATATGATGTTACTCCAAATCTAGACATGTGTTATGCATTGTTCTATAAAGATGATGGAGTAAAAAGGTATATTTTATTTACATATTAAGTTTTACTTTATTCAATGAGTTAGTTTAATCTTGCAGAAGAATTGCCGATAAGAAATTGCCGATAAGAAATTATATTACTATGCAAGATTAGATACATCTATATCATGTGGCAAATGGCATAGGGTACAAACTTGTCAAATTCAAGAAAAAAAATTATTTCATGTATAGTTGAAATTTAATTCACTTATCTATATACAACAATAAAGTGATAATTATTTTGAAGGCTCATGTTTGAGTTCTATTTATATTGACTTATATGTCATTGGTTGAAGGGTAAGAGGATAGGTTAAAGTCACATCGCACCAAAAGAGTAAGATATCTGGTCAAAGTCCGGATGCACATAATATTTAAGGATAAAACGGTAGATTCATGTTCAATCGCACCAAGAGAACAAGACATCAATTTGAGTTTTGATGCACCATCATGATATGTATTGGATTCGAGTCACATAGAGTTATGACTTAACACGTCTTATATGGATAAAACATTGAGTATTGAGTCAATGCATCATAGTGATGATATAATGATGACTAAGGCTTTGATGAAAACCCATGAAATTCATCCTATTGAATTTGCTCCATTCTTTGAAAAGAATGTGGTAGCAACATATGATAATTTGTAAATTCGTCTGTTGACTTGCTTTATTCAATCATATGAATATAGGAGCAGTGAATAATTAGTCTGAAAGATGACAAATGATTAACAATATGAATAAGGGCATGGAAGGACAGATTATAATAATCATCATTGTGATAATTATAAAAAGAAAAACAATATGGGTTCTCTAAATAGTCCTTCAAAATGTGAAGGCAATTTTTATCATCAAAATAATTTGAAAGGTCATTGAACCCGTGGTTGTTGTCGACGTAATAATTTGATTAGTTTGTAATTTTTCAAAGTGATGTTGAGGTGTGTCATGTAAATATGATGAATTTTAGAAGTATGACAAAGTACTTGTAATGCAAATTTA